GGGGTCTCCTGGGGCCTCTTGAGGGGCCGCCTGGGGGCCTCCTGGCGGCCTCTTGGGGCGGAAGGCTCGAGCTTGCGGTTCGTGGTCCCCCTCTGGGCCCCCTCTTGGGCCCGTCTTGGGGCCCTCTTGGGCCATCTTGGGCGCCTCTTGGCCGTCTTGGGGCCCTCTTGGCTGTCCTGGGGCCCTCTTGGAAGCTTCTTGGGCCGTCTTGGGGCGGTCTTGGGCGCCTCTTGGGCCGTCCTGTAACGTCGGAAAGCCCAAAAGGCGACTTTGTTGAAAATGTACGTTTTACGAAGGGAATGGGCCAACTTTTGCGTATAGGGGCCCTCTTGGGACGCATGTTGGAGGCTTCTTGGGGCCTCTTGGGGGCGTCCTTGGACGTCTGGAGGCCATCTTCAGCATCTCGGAGCCCTCTTTGAGGCCTCTTGGAAGTTTCTTGGGCCGTCTTGGGCGCTTCTGGGGCCGTCTTGTCTGACCGGGGAGGCCTCCGGCAAGCCCCGACGAGCCTCCGGGCCCCCCGGAGCCCACATTTGTGGTCGAGGTCCCGGCCCCGGGCCCCCGGACCCGGTGCGCCGTTATATGTATATACCCCCGCCCCCTTTCCGCACCCCCCCTTTTCCAAGGGAGCTCACAGCGGAACCTGGCCTGGTGTTACGAACGCTCGCGCAGCGCAAGCTCTCGAAACCTACGACAAGCCATGTGGACGCACGTCGGCCGGAAAAAGTGGGTAGAATCGGTCGGGAGAGGTGGGTAGAAACATGAAGTAGGAAGGCATTGGAAATAGATTGAGTCCCCGCCCCCCCTGAAGAAGATGGACGAAGGAAAACCGCACGACACTTGCAGTAGGAGGGCGCCTAAAATTGATTGGGGCCCAAAAATGCACATGACTACGTTCTACGTTCACAACGACCGGCGTGTGCGTAATTTTTTCGCTCCTGATTTTCGTGCGACCCGGCTGTGCGCCCGCGCCGCCGTCGCCGCCGCGCCTGAGCGGCGCGAGCCAGCAGCTGTGGACGCCCGAGATGGGGGCGGACCAAAATTACACGATGCCCATGTTCGGCGGCGGGCGAGGGGGGCGGGCCGTCCGACAGGTTTTTGTGTGTTTTCGGGGACGGTTTTGACAATTTCTCCCCCCCCCCCAAAAAAAAGAACTGGGCTTCCGAGCCTGAGAAGGCTTGAACGGCTCGCCCTCTGACGCTTCACCCCTGGGTTGGCCACCGACATGTTGTCCAAAACCTACAATGGCCGCTGTTTGGCAGGCGGCCTTCTGCCCCAAATGGACAAAGCCCGCGGCGGCACCGACGGCGAACCCCTATTCGAAGTGGACAGGATCTGCTGTCAGTGTTCGCCCCCATTTGCCCCATGCCATGTTCGATCGCACCGAACCGCAAGGTAGAGGAACAAAAAAAGGCAAAATAATTACTCCGACGGTAGGACCCCGCATGAGAATATGTTCGGTTTGCCCTTAGCCCTTTCCTCCTCGCCCTGGCGGACACCCTCCTCTCGCCCTCTGCTCTGCCCTCCCTTTCCACCTTCTGCTAGTTATCCCCCTCCCCCTCCTCCTCCTCCTCCTCCTCCTCCTCCTCCTCCTCCTCCTCCTCCTCCTCCTCCTCCTCCTCCTCCTCCTCTCCTCCTCCTCCTCCTCCTCCTCCTCCTCCTCCCTCCTCCTCCTCCTCCTCCTCCTCCTCTTCCTCCTCCTCCACTACCCCTTCCCCCCCTTCATCTTCCTCCTGCCTCTCCTCCATGTGCACCTCCCCTTCCCACTGTTCGGAGCAAGCAAATCGATGTTCCTCGGCGCCGTCGCCGCCTCGGCCAGCACGCGCGCATTCGCCGACGGATGGATCACAAAGCCTTTGGGGCAACCCAGCGGGCCATACCTTTGGAACAGCCCCGCGGGCCGCTGGGGCGCGGAGGCAGACCGTCGGGGCAACCCCGCGGGCCAGGCCGTTGGGACAACTCCGCGGGCCTCGAGGTAGGCGCGGCCGCGTCCGATGACCCGCTAGGGTTACCAACATGAAATGCTGGCCCCATAGGGAGGGGGTTGCCGCCTGAGACTTCCTCACAATCCACTCACAGACGAGGCTCCCGCTTGATACTCGTCCAAATTCAGGCCTGAGGAGCCCAAAACGAACGACAGTTACAAACTCCCGATGAGCTGCGGGCCCCATAGGGAGAGGGCTCCCGCCTGAGACTTCCTCGCAAGTCGCTCACACATGAGGCTCCCGTCTGAGACTTCCTCCATTCGTGCCTGAGGAACACAAAACAAACGACAGATGCAGGTGTCCGATGTCCCGCCCAGATTACCAAGGAGAAATGCGGGCACCACAGGGGGCTCCCGCCTGAGACTTCCTCTCAATTCACTCACAGACGAGGCTCCCGCCGGAGACTTTCTCCAAATTCAAACCTGGGGAGCCCAAAATTGACGACAGTTGCAGGGTTCCGATGACCCGCTCGGATTGCCGACATGAAATGCGGTCACCATAGGGAGGGTGCTCCCGCCTGAAACTTCTTCGAAATTCACTCACAGACCCGCTTAAGACATTTTTCAAATTCAGGCCTGAGGCGCTCCAAAGTGACGACAGTTGCACGCTTCCGATGACCCTTTCGGATTGCCCACATGAAATGCGGGCCCCAAAACGAGGGGCTCCCGCCTGAGACTTCCTCGTCATTCACTCACACACGAGGCTCCCGCCGGAGACCTCCTCAAAATTCAAGCCTGAGAAGCCCAAAATTGACGACTATTACAAGGTTCCGATGACCCGCGCGGATTGCCAACGAGAAATGCGGGCCCCATACGGAGGGAGGTCCCGCCTGAGATTTCTTCGCAGTTCACCCACAGACGAGGCTCCCGCCGGAGACTTCCTCCAAAGTCAGGCCTGAAGAGCCCAGAAGGGACGACGGTTGCAGGGTTCCGATGGTCCGCTCGGATTACCAAGGAGAAATGCGGGCCCCACAGGGGGCTCCCGCCTGAGACTTCCTCGCAATTCACTCGCAAACGAGGCTCCCGCTTGGGTGGGTAGGTGGGTAAGTGAGTGAGCGGGAGAGTGAGTGAGCGAGTGATGATGATGAGTGTGTAAATGAGTGAATGTGCGAATGATGACAACGATGGTGATGATAGTGTGCGTGCGTGGTTGAATAGGTTAGTGTGAGGGATCATGGTGTGTGTGTGTGAGTGATTGAGAGTGTGCGAAGGGAGAAGAGAGAGAGAGAGAGAGAGAGAGAAAGAAAGAACAAACAAAGGGGGGAGGAGGAGGAGGAGGAGGAGGAGGAGGAGGAGGAGGAGGAGGAGAGATCCTGCGCGGAGGGTGTGCAGAGAAAACAAGAAACCCACTTTGTATGTGGGGAATAATTTCTTGGAGTTCCGCGCGGAATTCTTGGATTGGCGCTGGACTCCCATGCCTGACGCACAGAGCGCGCCAGGAGCGGCGCCAGAGGCGCCGCCAGGGAAGCCCGCGTCGATCCACGGAATCCGCGCGAATCCCCGAGAAGTCACGTTGATGCAGTTGCTCTGTTTTCCGAGAGGAGGACGCTGTCGAGGCGGAGGAGAGCCCGGCTGTGCTAAACAGCCAGTGGTCGAATGGCAAGCCTGCTGGCCAGGCGCTGGACCAGCAGCCGCTGCAGCTGCGGTCCGAGTCATTGAGGGGCCCGCCAGGGTGTCCCTCGATTGGTGGGGCACGGAAACAAAATTAAAAATAGCACCCCGCAAACTCTGGCACTAGGAAGAAAAAACTTCATAAACATACACTTTCGGAACTCCGCGCAGAGTTCTTGCATCGGCACTGGACGTCCCTTCCTGGCGCGCCAAGCACGCCACGGGCAGCGGCACCGGAGGCGCCGCCAGGGGACCCAACGACGACGCGAGAAACCCGCACGAAGCTCCAGAAGTTTATGATAATGCAGTTCTGTCTGCCTCGAGGCACCCCGATACGCCTCCGGTGAACTAAGGATCAAGCCCTTTCGGAATAGGGGGAGTTCCTTAATCCATCGGGGGATCCGCTGTGAACCATGTTCCGATCGGTCCTATCGGGGATACAAGGTCCAGCCGACGTGGGGTGCTGGGGGGGGCTCGGAACAAAAAAAAAAACCGTGCAAAAGGGATGTAGTCCAGCTGGTCGGCCAGCTGAACTTTGCGGCGGGTCTCACAACGCCGCCGAAGCCTCCGTCCGAGGTCAGGCGTTCGAGAACTCGTGCTGGAGAGGCAACCAACCACTTGAAGCGGGCGGACAGCTAGGTGAAATACTGCTGGTGATTGGAGGCGGCAGGGGGGTCTGACTGAGCTGGAGAAGCTCCGAGAAAATCGGTCAAGAGGGGGCGATGAAGGCAAATCCCACCAGCCCTCTGGGCGTAGGTGGTCTAGAACAGATCCTCTTCCACCCCTCCCTCTTCCCCCTTGGGGAGGGGTTTACCCCTCCCCCTACCCCCTCCCCTGGACCTGGACGGGGGGGGCCGCGGGTAGTTAGAGCGTCCAAGATGGCCCAAGACGGCTCCAAGAGCGCCTCAGAGAACCCAAGATGAGCTCCAAGATGGCTCAAGATAGCGCAAGATCGCTCACGATGGCTCCTAAGATGGTTCCAAGAAGCCCAAAGACGGCCCCAAGATAACTCCAAGTGGCCAAACAGCTCCCCAAGGAGGCCCCGAAGAGGCCAAAATCGTCCCAAAACCTAAGGAAAATCAATGATTTTTGCTTTCTCGCCTTTTCGCTTCCGATGGCTATCCGAGGCCTGGAGATGGCTCCAAGATGGCCCAAGAGGGCCCCAAGAGAGCCCCAAAAGAGCCCCAAGACGGCCCCAAGAGCGCCCAAGAGCACTCCAAGAGCGTTCCAAGAGGGGTCCAAGAGGCGATTTTAGGGGCTTCCGAGGGGGGGCGCTAATTAAACCCCCCCTCTTGTTTGATCGACTCCCTCCAAGATGGCCCCAAAAGCGCCCCGAAGGCTCCCCAGAGCGCCTCAAGAGGGTCCCAAGAGGCGCCCAAGATGCCCCAAGGCGCCCAAAAAGCCCTCCAAGAGGCCCTCAAAAGACCCCCAAGAAGCTCCTTCCCCTCCTCCTCCTCCTCCTCCGATTCTTCCTCCTTCTCCGTCCTCCTCCTCCTCCTCCTCCTCCTCCTCTTCCCCTCCTCCTCCTCCTCCTCCTCCGACGACGACGACGACGACGACGACTCCTCTTCCATCCTCCCCCTCTCGGGGTCTGTGACAGCTTCCCCCGCCCTTTGTTATTCTGCATGCTCCCCGACTTCCCTGATCACCTTAACTCCCCTGAGCATCGTTTCTGGATGGGCTGGTGGGGATACGCGAAGCGTCAACAATTCGCTGAAGATCAGTCCCCAGACCTCCAGCGGTCCAAACTGACAAATTTTCCGAGGCGCGTCAAGCCGTGGCGACGAGGGGCCCCCTTTCTCAGAGGCTTGGAGCTGGGCACCAACGCCAGCGCAGGGGGTTGCCTCCACAGGGGGAAGAGGATCCTGGATTTCGGTGTTGGTAGTAATAGTTCGGTCACCTTGAAGCCAGAATATTGCCACCATCACCGAGATAGGCGACTTTCTCCCTCCTGTCTGCTGGGCGGAACCAATCCTGTCGTGGGCGAAAAATAGATCCGTATCCGCAGCCTCGCGGGCCAGGCCCCTGGGCCACGACCCTGCGGACATGGGGCGTTCTTTCGCCAATGCTCCGCGCGGAACGAAACCGTGCGACCGCGCTTCCGCGGGATGGCGCCCCGGAACCAAGACCGCGAGGGCGTGGATACGGAACTCGTGATCCTGGGCCACCTCAGCCCCCAGGAGAGCCCAGGATCGAACCCGTGCCGAATCGGTGATCGACGTGAATCGGATCGGCGGACATCGTCAGCCAAGTCGGGAGAAGCCGCATCGATGGAAATCGGCAGGCCAGTGAGGCCTCCCTAGAGAAACCAGAGTCCGAGCGGGAACCCGAAGTCGAAACGAATCGGAACCCGAATCGAGCGAGATCGAAGCGAAGCGAGTCGGAGTCGAAGCGAGCCCTGGCCCCCCCGCGGGCTCCAAGCTGGTGACGCCCACTGGCACGACTGCTCGCCTGCGTCAGGAGGCACGGCTGGTCGGAGGTCCACCTCGCCCACGGCGCACGCCCACGCACGGCCCGTCGTCTCCCCGTGCCGGTGCTGCTCTGCGCCCTGAAGGGGGGGCGCTGCTGCACCAGCGAGAGCTCCATGCAGGCCTCGTCGGACGAGTGGGAGCAGGGTGGCTGTACACGGGGCAGGTGGCGGTGAGGGCAAAGGTCTGGAAGCCGGTGGACCTCCAATCGTGGAGTGGCCATGGATAGCATCACCGCCCTCATTGGGTAAGGAGCCCTCCAGGGTCTGAAGCCTCCGGGGCATCTTCCTTCACGAGCGCCCCCACCGCCGAGGAACAAGAAGCGGCAAAAGCAGAATCTCTCGGAGCTCAGCGCGGATTTCTTGGATCGGCGCTGGAAGCGCCGCCAGGGGAGCCCAACACCGATCCAAACAATCCGCGCGGAGCTCCCCGAAATTGCGTCTCTGCCGAACTTGCTCTTTGATGGGAGGAGATCGCCTGCCTGACAAAGGTGCACGTCGAGCACAAGGATGCTGAGCCGCAGTGGCTCTCGAGCCAAGCGAGCGCGAAGGAGGAGGGCGGGAGGGGGGGGGGGCAGCAGGCAGCAGGAGGGACGGGCGAGAAAGACGCCACGGAGCGATTGGCTCAGAGTACGCTCCAGGACTGCCAGAGTGTACCTATGGCGGCCCTCGCTTCTTGAGCCAGAAGGCGGGACAATAGGACATCTCGAGAGACTCGGAAAACCTGGAGCATATCTCTGTCGTGACTCCCCCGAGAGAATTTGGACGCCCGAAATGGGCACGGAACAAATGCGTACAATGCCCGACAACACATGTTGTCCAAAACCGACAGCGGCCGCCGTTGAGTAGGCGGCTTCTGGTCCTCAAAGAACAACGCCCGCGGCGGCGCGGACGGCGAGCCCTGTTAAAAATGAGCAAGAACTGCTGCTGGGCATCGTGCCCAGTCTTTGCGTACCCGCTCCCCCTGTGGCTCGGGGGCGCCCTGTCGGGGGGGGCTCGCAAATCGTGGCCCGAGGCACGCGGGCGGCACGGCCCGAGCTGCTCAACTGGTGCACCGCCGCGCACCTGGCGTGAGGGACTTGAGGAGCCACCACAGTGAGGCCTGGAGAACGTGGGGGGGGTCGACGTTCGGGAGACAATCGGGCGTGGGGGGCGAGCCCAGGGGGGGGAGTGAGAGAGGGGGCCTTCTCAGAAAGGTCGGACGGACGCAGGCCTTCTGGAAAGTTCTCTGGGCCTTCCCCGAAGACACACACACACACACAAACAAAAAAACAAACAACAAAAACGTCGCCGAAGGCCGGGGGGGGGGGGGCGGGGGAGCCCCGCCGCCTTCTGAGAAGGCCTGTCCCTCTCAATTCCCCCCGTCCCCCCCCTGGGTGCGCCACCGAGCGTTGAAACAAACAGGCAGGCCATGAGGCCCCGCTTGGAACCCAAACAGCTCCCAAGATGCCCACGAGTCCTGGGAGAGCGCCCAAGAAGTCCACGACGCCTCAGCCGTGGACTCGCCGCCTCTTCTGGGGGTCGGCGGAATGGCGCAAGCCTCTTGCAGAAGGAGAGGGGCCATGCGGCCACGGCCACGATTCCCTGATGGAAGCGCGCATCCTTTTTCAGCGCCGCCGCTTGCAGTACTCCCTGTAATGTTTCTGTGGTATTCCCACCGTTCATGGGGAACTGCACTTCGAGTCAGGAAGTTGGTTCCAGTGTTGGCGAAGAGTTTTCTCCCTACACGCGCTCTTGCAGACTGCTCTGAGCATCCAGATGTACACATCGGCTGCAACTTGTGCCTGTGCACCCATTGCGGGGTGAGCGTGTCCGTGCGGGATTTCGGGCCTCGCGCCGTCATCGGGCCAGCGTCGGAGACGAGTTGCTCTACAAAAGAATTGTAACTGCCAAATCTTCAACTTCGCCAACACATGTTGGCATAAAACTCCACGCACCAGATCCCCGCATCGCACTTGCCGTAGGCCCCGTACACCATGCCTGACAATTGCTCTTATCGTAACGCCCCCCCGAAGGCTTCGACTTGTCCCTAGTGGTTCGACTCTGCTTTGCGCAGCCTGTGCTTAATCGCTGCCGCAATCTCGGCCTTGGCTCTGAAACGAGCGGCAAAAAAACAGGATGAAGGTGCTTCAAGGGCTCCCAACTTCGCGCTTCGCGCTGCGCGAAGCGCGGAGTGCGAATAACGTCGCGCTCTCGCGCCGCCTCCCAGGGGGGAAAAGGAAGAGGAGAAATCGGAGCCGAACCGCGAAGCGCGAGTAACTTCGCGCCCTCGAGGGCGCCCTTGGTGCTTTGATCTCCACTTTTCAATGAGAGATCTGGACGCCACGGACTCCAAGGAAGACTCTTTCCAAGAAAACTCGATCATCTCCAGCGCTTCGGTAAGCCCCCGAACCATGATTTGGAACTGGCCCACGCTGGCCGCCAGGATCATGAAGCTGCCGGCCCAGATGAAGTGAGTGAACGAATCATCTTCGCCGCCAAACGAAAACCCAAACTGTCTGGCGCGCAACGTGCGCAGAAAAGGTGTGAAGAAGAGGCTCCTCCATCCCTGCCGTACCCCGAGGCCGGTCGAAAGTGCGGGCCAGGCGTTGAGGTTTCTTCACCATTTATGATCCTGAAGCTTCAAATTTTGCAAGCAACTCACCGATGGGGGGCGGCCCGTTTGCAAAATGTGGCTCTCGCGAGCTTCACGGATGGAGGGCGGCCCGTTTTCAAAATGTGGCTCTCGCCTTAGCGTCGCGCACATTCGTCGCAAGAGTTTTTAGAGCTTCACGGATGGAGGCGGTTCTCGCCTGAGCGCCCCGCACATTCGTCTTAAAAGGTGCAAGAGCTGCAAGGATGGAGGGCGGCTCGTTTTCAAACTGTTGTTCTCGCCTTAGCGCCGCGCACATCCGTCTCAAAAAGGTGCAAGAGCGTCTCGAGTGGAGGGCGGCCCGGTTTCAAAGTGTGGCTCTCGCATTAGCTCCGCGCACAGTCGTCTGAAGAGTTTGCAAAAGCGTCATGGGTGGAGGTCGGTTCGTTTTCAACATGTGGTTCTCGCCTTAGCCCCGCGCACATTCGCCTGGAGAGTTTGCAAGAGCTTCAAGGATGGATGGCGGTTCCGTTTCAAAATGTGGTACTTTCCTCGACGCCGCGCACATTCGTCTTAAAAGCTTGCAGAAATTGTACGGGCGGGGAGCGGCCCGTTTTCAAAATGTGGCTCTCGCCTTCGCGCCGCGGGCATTCGTTTTGAGAGTTCGCAAGAGTTTCACTGACTGAGGACGGCTCCTTTTCGACATGTGGCTCTCGCCTTAGCGCCGCGCACATTCGTCTTAAGAGTTTGCAGCAACTTGAAGGATTATCATGGTTAACGTCTCAGCAATGGTGTGTTGGCACGATGTCGGAACGTCAGGGCGCAACAGTCACATTAATTCGCGATGATGAAGCCCCAGGAATGGTGTTCTGGCACGATCCAGGACTGTCAAAACGCAAGAGTAACGGTGATTTGCGGCGTTAATGTTCCAGGAATGGCGTTCTGGCACAGTTCTGGATAGTCAAGCGATTATCTTCTAACGGGGCATTTCCCCTGGTGCAAATGAAGACGTGTAGGGGCCTATGAAGAGGGAACTTGGAGGGAGGGTCTGTTGCAATATCGTCCAGGAGTCTTGGGTTTATACTGGATCTCCTCCTCCTCCTCCTCCTCCTCCTCCTCCTCCTCCTCCTCCTCCTACTCTTCCTCCTCCTGGATCTCCTCCTCCTCCACCTCCTCCTCTTCCTCCTCTTCTCCTCCTGGCTCTCCTCCTTCCTCCTCCTCCTCCTCCTCCTCCTCCTCCTCCTCCTCCTCTCCTCCTCCTCCTCCTCCTCCCCCTCCCTCCCCCTCCCCCTCCCCTTCCCCCTCCCCTCCTCTCCCTCCTCCTCCTCCTCCTCCTCCTCCTCCTCCTCCTCCTCCTCCTCATCCTCCTCCTTCGCACTGCGCTCCCGGCAACGACCTCCCACAAGGGAGGGAGAAAAGGCAGGCAGCAAGGGGGGCCTTAGCCCCCGCTCGGCGCGCCCAGCCCGGCCACGTCCGCAAAGCCCAGGCCGAGGTGCCGGCTGGCCGTGGCGAGGGCGACCTCGGCGTCGACGGCCTCCACCGGCGTGGTGATGCCTCGGGAGCAGGGCGGCGAAGGGCGGGCCGGGCCAGGCAGGGGAGGGAGGGAGGGAGGGTAGAGCCGGCTGGGGGGCCGAGGTGGCCCAGCCGTGGCGAGGGCGATCTCGGCGTCGACGGCCTCCACCGGCGTGGTGATGCCTCGGGAGCAGGTCGGGCGTTGGCAGAACTGGGTTTAGTGGAGCCTGGTTTAGTGATGTGTACTGGGGGACGGACGCCCCCCCCCCGCCCCCGTTCCACTGACCGGAACTGCCGTCACCCGAAGAATCACTAGCTACGGGAGACCCGGTTTAGTGACTCTGGCCAATTCAAAAGCTCCAGGGCCCTACCACTTACGGGGTCCCCTTACCCGGAGTCCTGGCTGTACCCGAGCAGAGCGGCGCAGGGCGGGCCAGGCCAGACAGGGGAGGGGGGGAGGGTGTGGGTTGGAGCCGGCTGGGGGGCTGAGGTGGCCCAGCACTGGCTTCGGCCAGCCCCCTCGTCGCCATTGCACGAAGAACTGGTGAGCTTCGACCCCGGGAGGGGTCAGGTGACCGACTTTGAGCAGACTTGCCCTCGCCCCCACCTCTTGACGATTTTCTCGGGTCCTATCCACCGCAGACCACCCAGCCGTTTCCAAGGAATGGGAGGATGCGTTCATCAACTTGTGTGCTGTACTGTGCTCGCGGTGCCTTGAAGCAGACAGGAGAAAAGAAATCTGCAGCAACCTAAACCTATGGCGGACTGCTCGGATCTCTCGCATCGGCGCTAGACCTCCTCTCCCTGCGCGCCATGGGCGACACCGGATGTGCCGCGAGTGGGTCCAGCGGGGGGCGCCGATGCGGAAGAAATCTGCGCGGACCTCAAACATTTGATGTTCGTGTCCGCTTTACGCTTTACCTTCTCACAACACAGTGGTCCAGAATCAAGCAGCTGGACGAGGAAGGAGAGAAAGAGGAAGGTGCGGGAGGATACAACTACGAGCTTGCGCCCCAGTCCGATCAGCACTGTCGCCGCATCGCCCGACGATCGCTGGTCAAAGGGATCCACCCAAAAGCTAAATACCACGCTGTTCGCGCCGCGGGCAGCTTGCACAGTGATCGACGGAACCAATGACCAATCCATCTGCCTCTCTTTCTCTCTCTCTCTCTCTGTCTCTCTCTCTCTCTCTCTCTCTCTCTCTCTCTCTCTCTCTTTCTCTATCGCAGCTCCTCCCTTATTCCCTCGCCCTACGTACGTTCGGTCATCAAGGCTGTACCGTGCCCTCCTTGTCATGGTCACGGAGCACGAAATATACAATGAAATGCACCCTCTTCCCACCCCAAGAGGCCCTTCTAGTCATTTGTCAGGAGCATGGGATGCAGGATCCAAGCCATTACCATGGCACTGTCAATGGACCCACACAAAATATACGATGTCATTTGACAGTGGGATATCTGGACCCACGCAAAATGATACAATAAAATGATATATCTCTCGATATGTGCACACGCACATATATATATATATATATAGGGTCAGCCCCCCCACCAGCACCCCGTGTGCACCCATCGCTGTGATTTCTCTCT